GAGGTTTGGTAGTATTACGTTTTGATGAATTCCTTTATTTATTTAATTTAAAGTCAAGAGCGGTATTTTCTCATTGTGATAGATAATACTGCTGATTTGTCATATTTTGCAATAAAAATAAAGTAACACAAGAGTTTCTGAAATAAAGCGGTGTATGTTTAAACGTGTGTCCACTTTATGAGACATACACGTTCAACTATATAAAAAAACTTTACACATGTTTTGGTTTTATTTTTAATATTTAATTGTAACATAAAACTAAAATATAGATGTTTGTATAATTATTATTCTATTTAAAAAATAAATTTTTTTGTTATTATGTTATAATTATATTAAAACCATTGTTTTGGTTTTAATTTTTTTGGTTGCTTAAATGAAAATACTCAATTGCAATCTATTTATAAATTTAAATAAACTAAAACAAAACAAATAAATATGAAATTATAATAATTTAGTTTAGTTGTTTTAAAACTTTTTGTGACAACTAAGCTCTTCGTAATTAAAAAAACGTTATAAACATGACTAAATTTTGCGTTAAGAATTAATAAGATTGTATTTCAGAAATAATTAATAAAATAATTAATAATAAAAAGCAGTCGTTTTTTCAAGTTATTTAATATTAAAATGAAACTGTTATTTAATATATCAAATTCAATGAGAATCCAATGGATTAGATATTTTCTTTTGCTTTTAGTAGTTAATTTACCTATTGGTTTTAGACCTTATTATTATGAATACAACTGTGGTTCCAATGTTAGTTTAATTACTGCTCCAACAAATGTTAAGAAATACAAGAACTGTGTTCAATCTAATACCTCTCCATTTAATTTCTCTATTGATAGTAATTTTTATAATTTTTTGAAGATCGAAAACGTCACCACGTCTTCTTTTGACATCAGAAATTCGGTATTCAAATCATTTTCAATTTTGAACACAAATATCTCAGATTTTGTTTTTGAAAATAATTCAATATATCAAAAATATGGTTATCACTCATGGAATATGACTATTAATGATTCGCGAATTAAAACCTTATTTGCCAACAGTGTAACAATTGATCGAATTATTATTAACGACTTTTATGGACATACATGGGATGTTTCAAACATGACAATTTATAAACATAAATTTAATAGTAACATTACTGATGGGACAATTGAAAATCTTCACATCGAAAAGTTCAATGCAAATAATGTATTTATTACTAAAATGACTTGCAACTACTTAACAATGAATTATATATATTTACAAAATATTAATGTCAGAAAGTCTCATTTTAATATATACAAATCGATCAATTTGACATTTTATAATTCCCAATTTTATAATACATACATGTCAATTCAAAATGTCATTGATGTCACTTTCAAATCTATAAAATTTAAAAAAGTAAAAATCGATACAAATATCAAAAACAACGAATGTATTATATTTATAGATGTACATTTTTTTAAAACATATATTAATGGAAAATACATAAAAGACTATCAGGGAGACTATTATATAAATGATGACAATGAACTAACAAGTTAATATGACGATATTAATAAAGATATTAAAATTGTGGCTTTGTCGTTCATTATAATAATATTATTTTTTATGTCAATATTATCTGTCTGTCATTAATAAGGTAATTTAAATGATTTTTATTATATTTAGAAAATATTTAATACAGTTAAAATTTTCAAAAGCGGGCATTTTTAAACTTATACAGTAAAAAACATCTATTTGTGGGTTTTCAAACAGGGAAAATATTTATTTGTGGGTTTATCATGGAATTGTGAAGTAAATTATTTTCACTATTTTATACATAAAAAATAAAAGATTTTAATGATATTAGAGTATTTTAAAGGGTTTCTTGAGGATAAGGTGTATCCTCAGGATTAAAGCTATCCTTATTAAAAAATATTTTTCTGAGGATACAAAAATCAAATCCATAATGTTCAGTTCCCCATAAGGCCCATTTTCATAACTCAAGTTATAATTTACACTTAATATTTTGAGTCAAAGTTAAATTTTAAATAATGGTAATAATTTGTCATAAATGCCAAAAAATTAAATAAAATCAAAAAATCGCCACAATAATCAGTAAACAAAAACAATAATTATATCTCGCGAACTTAAGACGGGAAATAACAAAACATGAATTAAACTTGTTCATATTATGATTATATACTTATTGAAATTATTTTCGAATCCGTCTTTATAACATAATAATTGAATTTACATTTAAAATGATAATTGTTTTTTTATCAAAATGAAAATTGAAAAAGTCGAAAACACTGATTTTCTAATAATGTGATTTTAAAATAACAAATTTATAAATAATTTTGTAATTTATGCAATTATTCAAATTTATTGTAATAACAAAGTTAATCATATTGTGTATATTTTAATATGATTGTTACATTTTGATATTAACTTGTGTTTTAAACAAATTTACAGTTCTGAGGATGGCAATTATTTTCTGAGGATGACAGAAATAGAAAGTTTACACTTTTACATCTATCTGAAATGGATATTGAGTAAGTTACTATTTTTGAACATGGAAACACGTCATTTCACTTTTTAGATGTTTAAGTCTGTGTTGATAATGTTTGTTTGTTACACGACTTACCATCCTCAGAGATATTTATAGCACTGACACTATTGATTTAAAATTCTATAAATAAAATTATCAAAGAATTTTTATAAAGTGGGTTTTGATAATTGATTATATCAAAAATCGTCAAAACACAACAAAAACGCCAAATAATATATAAAATTGATTAATAAATTGAACACATTTTCATTGAGAATTGATATTGTATAAAAAATAATATAAACATATATTTCTTGTGTATATATGTTTTGAAATATAAATAAAACCGTTTAAAACAAAAATGATTTTATTTTAAAAATTTGTTTATTTATCGATCGTTGTTTTATCGATATCCAAAACCTCTCGTTTTGAATTTGCATAAATACATAAATTGTCATCGCATAAAATATACGTTATTAATACGTTATTTGCTATCAATTTTTATTGTTTGAAATATCATGAATTGATTTATAATAAATTATTTTTGTGAAAAAGATTAAAAATTGTTCGATTAATTTGTTTTGTGATTTTGATTAAAAAATTGACTTTTTCGATAAATTAAATTAATTTTGATTGTTTTCATATGAACCAAGGTTAGTCAAGTGGTAAATCAAAAAATAGAAAATAGATTATTTTTTTGTAAAAATCAACTGAAAGAATCATCTTTCAAAAAATCCATAAATAGCATTTTTAAAGAAAATCATGTGTTTCAAAATATACCTTTTTGATCTTAGGCAAAAAAATCCAAAATGAAAGAAATTATGTTTAAGATATTTACCATCCTCAGAAAAATTAACAATCCTCATGAATCCCTTAATTATAAAAATATTATAATTTTTTATTCAAATGTACCTATATTCAAGGTTCCAGAGCAAAATAATAATTTGTAAGTTTTGCATTTGATTGGTCGATTGACCCACAAATAGATGCTTTTTACTGTAGTAAAATTCGATTTTTTTAAGCAGTTTTTATGATATTATTAGTGAAAAATGCATGCTTTTTAAGAGGTTGATGATATAAATAAATAACATTATTTTAAGCATGTATCATAGATACACAATAACGATAAAGTTTTTCTAATAAAGAAAATGTTTTATGGTATTATTGACATTATTTTCTTTAATCCAAAAGAAATAAAGTTATACTTGTTATTTAACAATAATAAATAAACTTTTTTCATTGTTATATGTTAATATTTTCATTAACTTTATTAAATTAAAGGCCATGAAATATTGATGAAAAATATATTAAATATTTAATTATTAAACATATATAATATATAGAGATAATTTAAGTAAATTGATAATAGTATGTAAGTAATTACGATAAAATTGGGTTCGGTTCCGCCATTTTGATTATTCATTTCATCGGTTCAAAGCTGAAAATTTCTTATCACTTGCGTTTTCAGCAAAAGTTAAGTCAGAAATATTGTTTTTTCTGGTCAATAACTTATTGGTGTCTGTTTCTCTAATCTAATACATAATATTAATGCTACTTGTTGTGCAAGTATTTTCTCAGTGTTATTAAATATCAATCAAATCTTTTACAGGTTTATTATTTGTTTTGGAAAGATCGCCTTTGGTATAAAAACAACACCACCGTTTTTTAAATGACACAAGAGATTCTATTCTGCAAATACAGCGAATGTGTTAATTAAAGTCGTTATTTAAAAAATTTTTTCATTGTTAATATTATGCGTTAAATCACAACATTTATGATTATTATGTAACAACTTTTTGTGATAATTTAACACAATTAAAAAATGAAAACCAATTCATATAAATTGTTGTTCAACTCCAATAATACAAATATTATTATCGATATAATATATATTTAATGTGCATTTTATAATTTTTGAGTCAAGCATAAAACATTGTCTGTTTTTCAAAAGTTGTTTTATTGAAAAAAAATGATTTTTTTAAATCTATTACACGACTTTTTAAAATTGATATTCTAAATATTATTATTAAATTAACCATATTTTGAAAAACAATTCAAAAAGGCAAGTTATAAATATTGATTTGTTTAACAAAAAATCCAAGCAACAACACAATAAACCAACTAAGGTAATACTAATAATTTATTAATGTTTTTTATTGAAACGAATTTTTATAATTCTTATTTATTACTCATGTAAAAAACACCTTAACACGACAAACAAATTTATAAATTTTCAGCACACTTTTTGAATTAATTAATTATAATAAATCATATCTTTTTGATAATTTTAATTATTTTTGAAAAATAAAACATTTCATTTTTCTGGAAGTGTTTTTCCATACATTTCATGTTTTATTGTATAAATTATAAATAACAATAAAATATGTAATTGTTAAATGATTTTGAATGTGTGTTAATTGGTTAGTTATATTTAGTAACCATTATAAAAACACAATAAAATGACTAAAAATGTTATATAATGCAATTTACTCGAGTTATCTTAGTAGCTCTGTTCTTTTCGACCTTTGTGAATGCGGGAAACATAATCAAGACAAAAATTGACCTTTCCCGAAATATCAACGGTGCTGACCGTGTTACTTTCAACAACTTGTACAAGTTCTTTGATGAGTTTCATACGAAACTTAATAAAATTAATCTTTTGCAAGCTAACACCGACCAATCTTTAAAGATACGAAACCAAGCTAATATCATCAGACAACTCATATCTGATGTTGTTACTACCCTAGATCAAATTACTCATAACGGCCAAGCAAGAACACTTAATTATTTTGATGCCAAACAAGTAATCAAAACCATCAGAAAAGTCTATGGAAATCCCGAACTTTTTAATGCCTTTACTACTTACTATCAAGGATTTGAGGAGTTGTATAAACAACAGGTCGGACTACAATATTTAGCTAATGAACTTACTACTGCTATGTACGAACCTATAAAACACCCACAGAAATTTGTGACACTCTTCTCTTCACTTGGAAGAGACAAATATATCAACAAGAGTAGAAACTATGCCCAGGTAAAAGCTATTATTCAACAATTTGCAGAAAATGCCAATCATGAGTTTATGCGTGTTAATATAGACCCCGAATTGCGTGAAGATATTGAACATCATCTTTAATTGAATTAATTTTCTTTTATTTTAATTATATATATATATCATTATGATTATTTAATTCATAAAAACATGTCAAACTTAATTCATTAATTGATTTTATAATAATTTATAGTTGATAAGTTTGTTGCTGGATTCACAACAAATGTCACGTTTGTCTGTATATACAGTATGCTAGTTTGCTTTTGACAGATACAGTAAAACATCTCGAGAACGGGAGGGTATAGTCATTATTGTTCTTTTAAGAACGATCATTTTTATAAATGCTCGCTAATAAAATCATAAAAACTGCTCGATAGAGAACTTTATTTTCAGTTTTTGTCTAAAAAATGCCCATTTATTGGTAGGTTTTACTGTTTCGTCTTTTTGTTGTCTGGATCAACATAATATTCCCTATTTTCGAAGTAATTTAAATTAAATCATTTTGTCATTGTTGGTTTTTGTGCTTTATTTTTATAATAAACATATGAGTTCAAGTCTAAGTTGTCACTGTCGTGGTTTTGATTGTTAAATTATAAACAAACTGTTTGACCTTGCATTGAACGAGATAATTTGATGTTCTCACTTTTGAAGATCTCGTTTTGAACCTTTATCATTGTCAAAAAAAGAATTTTCATTGTTTTTTCAAGATCATATTTGCAATAAAACAATAACTATTTATTAAATCTTGATTATTAGTTTAGTTGGAGTAATTTTTTATATTTTGCTTGGATATTGTCAAATAAAAAACTTCATTATTAATTGTTAAATATGTTGTTTAATAATATTTTTTATTCATTGTAATTAATGACATTGCAAAAGATAAAAATGGAATTGTATATTTTTATATCAAAACTATTAATTATTATATTTTCACCATTTTTGGACCTAAAATCAAAGGTTTCCAAAATCACAATCCTAATTACTCACATCACCATATAATAACCAAAATGTTCATTTTCTCTTATAAATTTGTACGTTATAATACCACATTTTAGGCAATAATTTTGGAAACCTCTGCCTAAAATCGTATTTTTGAAAAATTGGATATAGAATTAGAAATGTTCCTATTAAATACTTATATAAACCATAATTATCATTTTACTTATGTTCAAATCCGAATTGAATGAACATGAATTGGTCGTCGTGACACAAAGTATCGAAGCCGTAGTTGTCGTTGTGTATCTCTTTTGAACTATACAAGTTTCGAGTGTGTTTCATTTCAATAAACCACCATTTCAATCATTTTTCAAAACATGTTATAGTATAAATTATAATAAATTTTTTAATGATTTTAGTTATTTTATTCTAAAAAAAATATGTGCTGAAATCCCAAAATATTACATTTATTTA